GTCTTTTTAGATTGTAAGCCTGAGGGCAGGGAAATGTCTAATTTGTAAACCTCTCTGATAGCCTTTTGGCTGAAGAGTGGGGTATAAATACTTGATGATGATGATGATGGATTATGTAGTCCGGGCTTCAGGATAGCCCTTCCTTTGGCTGGCACCCTCTCAATGTCCTGCACTACATCTTCAATCATCCAGCTAGTTTGTAATCCAGTTTATCTGGGCTGTATTTGTGGAACACCAAATGCTTTGACCTGAATGGGAATAGGAAGAAAATCCAGGCATTTTGAGAACAATGTACATTTTGTTTGACCTTCTCTTCCCATCATCTCTTCTATTTGCTCATGTATTAAATAGACAGTATAATCAGTTAGGAGGAATGCCTAGTCTGAAGCGCTCCTCCCTCAAGTGGCCTCCTTGCCTGCGAGGGCTCTTTTCTGCATAAGTGCCAAAGAGGCAGGGTGGGAATGTGTGTCTGTGTTGCTGCTTGTTCCACTTTCAGACCAGTTCTCTGACATGCATGTCTTTCTGTTTCACAGAAAGTCGTGGTGGGGAGATCAGTAGGGAAAGGATGATCTCACTGCTTCCTCTCTTTCTCTGCGAGGGCGGTATGTAAGCAAGTCCTTTAAACCAAAGCGTATCCAGTGTAGCTTTGAGACAGCCAAAGAGAGCCTGGCTCAGGTTTCCACAGAGCTGGTCTGGCTAAACCTTGACAAGTTGGAAACTCTGGGGAGATAGCAAGCATCCTGAGGAAGTGAAATCTCTCTGAAATCTGTGATGTCATTGGCAAACAAAACAAAGGAGCTCCAGGAAGGCACGCTGTTTTTTCCATCCTCTAAAAAAAATAAAAATCTTGCATCGGATTAGGAAACCTCTGTATTGATTCTTGGCCATATCTAGGCTTCTCTTACTTGGGATTTTAGTCTGTCTCATAAAAAATTTTTAACCTGTCAGTGGGCATATGCCATTGTTTGTTTGGATCATTGTTTGCTTCAACCATGTAAAGGTGGCAAACAAGATCTTGTGTGTGTGTGTGTGCATGCATGTGTGTGAGTGAGGCAGTGTGGTGTTGTGGTTTAAGCATTGGACTACAACTCCAGAGATTAGGGTTTGATTCTCCACTCTGCCATTGAAAGCCACTGGGTGCTCCTGGGTGAGTCACATACTCTGAGCCCCAGAAAATCCCATGATAGAGCTGCCTTAGGGTTGCCATAAGTCAGAAACTACTTGAAGGCACACACCCACACACATACACACAAAACATACACACAGTTCCATGTACCAGTCTCCTAAGAATGAGAGGAGAACTTCATTCAGACCACATTTTGAGGGCAACTGACCTAATTTTCAATTCCTGGAGCAATGTGCAAGTTGGAACAATAGTTACTCTTTGGGATGCAAAGTTTTTTTAATTTTTCAGTGCAATATTTGACCTGAAAATATATACAAAATATACATTTAGAGGAAGTAGCAAAACATATCTTTTACACGATACTGGACAAACTTGCATGTTGCAGGAGAAATACACCTAAAAGAGAGATGGTCAAAAGTATGTCCCTTCAGATGTTCTTCAGCTGCAGCTCTCATCAGCCCTGACCAACATAAGCGATAGTAAGGCATGCTAGGCACTGCAGTCCAGTAATTCCTAGGGGTCTGTACTTTTCCTACTCCTAATCTTTCCTTTCCGAAGTTCACACACTGATATAGAAATGGGCCAGAATGGGTTTATCACTAAATGTGTGCAAAATTGGTATGAACCTGTGAAGGTGACACACCTTCACCTTACTGCTTTTCTCAGATGGCAGCACAATGGGTTTTGTTATCCCAACACTGCCACCCACTTGTGATAGGGACCTACTTCCCACTACCACCAGCACTCAAGGGAACTTAATAATAAAATACTTTCTTTGCTGTTGGTAGCATGTAACTGTATCTGTAAAAGCACTCCAGACAGTCATGTATTGAAACAATGTTATAAGTTTATTTACAGGTTAACTTACAGTATCACTTGTGTGGGATGTTGTTCACAGTTGATTGACACACTTTGGGCTTGTTCACACTTACAAAACATTATTGATACACTTTGGGCTCATTCACACTTGCAAAAAACCCAGTTTTTGAGCTGTATTGATCCAGGGCCACAGAATCGATTTGAAACGGAACAAAGTTCATGCTACATTTTCCATTACCAAATGCCTCTGTGTCCATTTAACACAGTTCAAGTTCACACTTACTTTTGCACCCCAACAACATGGATTCTTAGTCTCAGATGTGTTCGATCCATCCTGGGTATTTTTTTTTAAATGTCATATGATCTGCGTGGCCGTGTTTCCAGTGACACAAGCATTTGGAGGTGTGGCCACGCGCATCAGCTGTCGCTATGTCCATGGGCCTTCCTGTGTGTATGTGTTCATTATATGTGTGTGTGTGTGTGTGTGATGCACACACTCCCCCCCCCCGAATGGGATTGGAAACCCATTTACATTTGTTCACAGCTGTTGGAAATCAGTTCTTTCAAAAGAACCTCTAAATTTCCCATTTCCAAAAGAACCGATTCTATTGGACTTGCATCGATTCACCCCGATTCAAACTAGACACAGTTGGGTCTGAAATTTAAATCATAGTGAGAATGAGGCCTTTATTTGTACACTGTGTTACACTTGTGGTTTTTTGTTTTTATATTTATTTGTTACAGTTACCAAAACTATTCAAACTCTCAAATAGACTTTTTCTTATTTCACTTCTATGAACTGAATGTGCTTCACTTTTCACCAACTACTATTCTCCTCAGAGGAAAATACTTCCTCTGCCTAGGACACTCCTAGTCCCCTCTTGGGTACTTTTAATACCTTTAAACAGCTTCTCTCTGCAGTATAAACTATCCACTAAACCAGCCACTAAAGCTCTTCATACCCCTCAGGGTATGCTAAAACAGCAACTCTACCTCTGAGTTCTGTCCCTTACCAAGTCCCTAACCAACTAACCCATTCTCTCTTCCCTCTCCTACACTATTTATCCACTCCTAACTCTCCTCTCCTTGGCTTGCCTCATCCTGATTGAATGTTGCCAGGGCTACTCTTTGTCTGCCCAACTCTGCCTTATCTCTACAGAACCAGAAACAGACTAATTATTCAACCCTGTATTCCCCTGGACATCCCAGAGACATGTCCAGGGGGATAAATGCTCTGATTTACTTCTGTGGAGACTGCAGTCAAGAAATCAGAAGACTAGGATTGGGCGGGGGGGTGGCAGCTGGAGCTATGGCAGTCTTTAGACAAAATCCCAAAGAGTAAAGATATACAGTTGAGCACCAAAGTTAGAATTGTCCAAGCCATTGTATTCCCCATCACCATGTATGGATGCAACAGCTAGACCAGGGGTCGGCAACCTATGGGCCATGGGCTGAGTGCAGCCCGCGGAGGCCTTGGGACCGGCCCATGGCTGGTCCTGCTGCCGCTGCTGTGTCAGGGCTATTAGCTGTTCCAAAATGGCACCTGCCGTCGTGCGCATGCGTGCGTAAGGGTGGATGCCATTTTGGACACCAAAATGGCACCCACACTTGCACAAGGCACGGCGGCAGCGGCAGGACCGGCCATGGCGGCGGCGCCATTGGGCCTTCCAAAATGGCACCCCCACGTGTATGTGCATGTGCACGACGGTGGGTGCTGTGTGCATGTGTGCACGCCAGCCCCCGGTACCATTTCCCCCCGGCCCCGGCAACAAAAAGTTGCCGACCCCTGAGCTAGACAGTGAAGAAAGCAGACAAGAAGGAAATCAGTTCCTTTGAGATGTGGTGCTGGAGAAGAGTGTCGAGGACAACGTGGACAGCCAAAAAGACAAACAAATGGGTTCTTCAACAGATCAAGCTTGAAATATGCCCGGAGGCCAAGTTGATCAAACTGAGGCTGTTGTACTTTGGCTACATCATGAGAAGGACAGGGGGTCTTCGAAATGTGTCATCCAGAGGGTCACTATGAGTCAGGGTCAGTTCAAAGGCAGTTAACAACAAACAACAACAAATGAGGGAATTTTGTGATAGTGGTTTAATTCCAGATGTACAGGCTGAATAGCAGAGCTGGGCAAATACCCAGATAGGATACCCCTTCTCTGTCAGAGAGCTCTGGTGCCACAATAAACTACAGTTCCCATGATTCCCTAGCACTGAGCCAGGACAGTTAAAGTGGCCTCAATCTGCATTATTTCTGGCAGTCTGTAAAGGCCCCTAAATAAGGCATGACACGTATTGAGAATGGAATCTATTTGGGAGAGAGAATTAAGTCCAGTAGACACTGGCTGCTCTTCTTCTCCATCAGAGAAGTGGCAGTTGGAACATAGAGGGACATGGAAGTAGGGCCACTGGGTCCAAGGTGAGATGGAGCTGTGCCTGGCTGCTCTTTTCTGTCTCTCAGAGGCTGGAGCTATGGCAGTTGGAATATGGAAAGGGATCTCTCACCATTTCCTGAGAACAAGGCATGATAGAGCTGTTCTTGGCTACTCTTTTTCCTCCAGAAGGCAGAGCAGTAGCAGTTGGGACCTGGAGAAAAGGATTCTTACTTTAGAAGCTTCAAGTGTTGGCACAAAAATTCTGCCTAGTGCATATCCACTGAATCCTTTGTGTTAACAAAAATGATATGCAAAGTAGGTTTTTGTATGTAAAATAATGTGATAACAAAAGTATTATTTAGATTATGTTGAGTGACAAGAGAAGATATTTTGCCAAGCAAATTATGTGTTAATGATAGCCTTCTCCAACATGGTAATATCCAGATATACTGGACTACAGTTCCCAATATTTCTAGCCAGTATGGCCGTTGGCTGCCTCCTCCTTTGTACCCTGTCCTTATTGTGTATGCCATCTTATTTTAAGCCTCTGTTCTATAGTTGGTGTTCCTGTATGTGTATAAATTTTGAAAGGTGTCTCTCTGAATCGGGTAATTTTCCAAAGCCAAGGAGAAAATGTGTCTGCAAGTGCTGATGCTGCTGTCATCCTTATGTTTTTGGCTGTTTCAACATTTAGGAAGAGATCTGCCAGATATTAGCGCTAGTCATGTTGCCTGTGCAGTTGATTTGTAGGTGCTCTCTTGTGTATTAGCAATGCTAGAGGAATATGTTCTTGTCTGAGCCTAATACAGTTTGCCCAATCCACCTCTCCTGGATTAATGTGCAGATTGGAACATGGGTATCCTTTGGATTTCACTCTTCTCCAGGTACTATTTCCAACTCTGGGCATCGATTCCAATTTCATAAAGGTTAATCTTCCCTCCCTCACGTCCATGAAGTGAATGCCTTTCAAAAAGTATATTTTAAATACCTTTCACAGATAGAAAACTAGCTAACCAGATATTCTGAGGAACATAAAGAAAGTTTCCATCATTGTCTGGGATCCATTTCCCTCACTCTGCAGTTTGTCTCAGGCTATTTACTTCCCTAGCTTGTCCACTTATTACAGGAACTGTCATGAGGTTCTTCTGTACTATTTTTGCCCAGACAGCATTGTGTCAATGGCCGGAAAATGGACACTGCTTAGAGAGCCATAACTGAGTTTTATAAACAGCCAGGAAAAGCACATTTCTTCCTTGCACCTGTGACCTGCCAACAGCTATTCCATTGTTTACAGTAGTCACACTGGATCTTCTTTTTTGAGGGTGAATTGTTCTAGCAGCCAGCTGTTCCACATTCTGTGCTCACTGTTTCTCACTTAGTCCCAGGTGTTCACACTTGAAAAACAATTAGAGATGGAAAAATAATTTAAGTTGCCCTGAACCTGCTCCATCCTCTAGGACCACGGCTTCAAATATGTCAAGTTTTAGTTCTCCTTTAAAGAAGGAGTGGGGGCTCATTTCTTCCTACATATGTTGGATTTCAGAGTAATAATAATATAATAATAATAAAATTTATATCTATCCCGCCCCTCTACCGAAGCAACCAGGGCAGCTTAAAGCAATAAAATCACACAATAACCCTCCCAAATCCAAACCCACCCTCCCATTAAAACAGTATTAAACATCATAATTTAAAAATAATTATTAATAATAGAACAATTATGAGTAAGATAGTTCTCTGTAATTACAGACTCCCCTTCTTTGAGACTGTTTGGGCTTGTTAGTGACAATGGGCCATCTGAAAGCT